TCGGGTGTCGGAAGGCTTCAGGTCGTTTATGGCTCTTTTGGCTGAGGGATAGGGTTTAGGGTTTAGGGTTTAGGGTTTAGGGTTTAGGGTTTAGGGTTTAGGGTTTAGGGTTTAGGGTTTAGGGATTTTGGGAGGGGGGTATGTTACAGTGTACTTTTAGTATGGAACTTTCAGGAATAGTATTAATGAGTATTGAGGCTTCTATAATCTGGTAGGGATTTGGGGCCCAACGCTACTGATTACTTGTATTAGGGTGCGGTTTTTCAGCATAAATATAACAAGGACTATAACGGCATACTAGTACTAAGCATTTCGGCCCTTAGAGTACAGCATAGTCAAGGCCTTAATAACAAGAGACGGGGGTCGGATGGAAACTATGATACAGTTATACAAGGGGCTATCATAATTTACTTTTCAGACACTTCTGGCACTAAACCGTGGACCAAAACCCTAAACCCTAAACCCTAAAACCTTAACCTACTTCTGTTCCTGACCCGAAACCTCCAGGACGCATCAGCTTGCAGGTGCTGCACATACTGGCGGGCTCAGGGTAACATAGGGGCCTACATGACTACCTGTACCAATTTTGGGGGCTCCTTATTATGGACCCCACAACCCTATTCAAATTATTAAGACCCCTATGGTAGTTGTAAGTAGAGTTACGAATACCTTGGTTGGCGTGCGAAATTGTAAGCGACGCACGACCTAACTGGACCCTGGTAACTCGTCAAAACAAGGACTGTAAGGGACTAAGCCGCTTGTCTTTAGTCCGAACCTTGCGTCGCACTGCATCCCATATGCCTGAGCCCGAACACGAACTGCAGCATGTGCAGCTGCGGCACCCCAGAAGAATCACGCGACCGCCGGGCGCAACAAGGCGTACGGCAGAGGACACAGCTGCAGGATGACCGGCTGCCTCTCCATTTTGAAACGACCAACACGATACTGATAATCGGATCGAAGAAAGCAGCAGTCGTCAGAGCAAGAGCAGCCGTAGCAAAGGACCCTAATCCCCAAAACCCCAACACCCTAAACCCTCAGAGAAAGACTTGCTCTCTGACAAAGGCAGGCCTCGAACGCCAGGGAAGGAAGCTCCGCCCCGGGGTCCTATCTGCAGCTCTTCGGGTTTTAGGGTACACGGTTTAGGGTTGCCCTCAAAGCACCCAGTTCGAGGCTTTAGGGTTTAGGTAAGCCGCAAGGCGCTGAAAGCCCTGTTTCGGTTGGGGCAGCTGGGGCTGCAGCAAATCATCCAAGCAGAAAGATCCCCCTCAATGTGGTTCATGTTTTCTTACATGCTGGCAGGTATTCAGGCTTCCATACTAAGTCCTTGTAAGACCCATTATGGTAACCAAAATACCTTCTCGAATCCTGTCAGGAACTCCATTAAAACACTTTCGAATGGCACTACGGAAAAGTATGATTACAGCGACCCAGTCAAGAACCCTAAACCCCTAAACCCTAAAACCCTAAAAGCCCACTCCGAACCCTCCACTCTTGAAGGAACCTTTTAAAAGAACCCGTGAAAGAACCCTACGCCCTTAAGGGAACATATGGTTCTAGGCAGTACCCTTGCAGAACCCTTAGAGGAAACCCTATAGGAAGCCTTATAGAACCGTTACGAAGATACGACGGACCCTTATCGAAATTCTATAGGGGCCTCTATAGTTGCCCTTATAGGAACCTATAAATAGGAACCCCTAAACCCTAAACCCCTAAAACCTAAACCCTAAACCCTAAACCCTAAGCCCTAAACCCTAAACCCTAAACCCTAAACCCTAAACCCTAAACCCCTAAACCCCTAAACCCTAAACCTCCGCTTC